AAGCGTACAGCAGCCATAACGTCGTGAATATGGCAAAAATGATGAGAATAACAATCCGATCAATATAAATAGTGTAAATAACACTTTAACCATTTACGTACTGCATCACAACACTTTAGCCATTTTTATAATCATTTCACCCAATGGAAAGCGATAGTGCTGCTAGGACTCATGGGATTACTGGCAATGAAATTAAAAGACAATAGTGAGTAGAAGTGCAGAGGAAAGATAATATAAGAACAAGGACCAAGAAAACAGAAGATAGCGATTGGCATTACATTTAATTTTTCTCAGATTCTAGGTGTTACGGAAGCACGAAATCTGGAGGTAGTTCCACAAGCCAGAAGTGCAAGAAAAAAAACTAATTAAAGTAGGACAGACGATTGCATATAGCTAATTTAACAGTAAAACGGTGAGACCTAGTTGACAATTTATTAAAACAATTAAATTCATAAAGGCGAGATACTAAGCAAGAAAGAGCATCATAACAATTGCCATGAAAATATTTCTAGAAAAGCCAGAGAGAAACCACATCATGTCGTTGAGAAAGTGATTGAAATGGAGGTGACGGGTCAGAAACAATAACATTACAAACCCTTCTTTGGAATTTGTCAAAAATCTCTAGATATATAGTAAGAGCACCAAACCAGCCATATTCCATTTATATATGTGCAAAATGAATTCCGTCGACAAAAAAAAACTGTCTGGCACGGCACAGTGAAGTAACTTTCCTAGCAGTAGACCTAGAAGTCGATTCAATATAATCACTCCACATCATACCAGTTTAAACCAAGAAGGCGTAAAGAGTTGTTCTCCTGGAGGTTAGCATCAGCCATGCTTCTAACGGACACAAAAGTTTCTCTATGACGATTAGATTAAAGCAGTTTTGTTTTGGAGGGGTTAAAATTTACAAGCCATTACTTGTCTCGGTTAGCCACTGACTGGGGTTCCTTTTCGACAGAAGTTGCTCGGATTTCTCTATCGAACCTATCGGGAAAATACGAGTAAATAGTTGTGTTATCTACATAAATACCTTCTTGGCATGTGACGACATCAAGAAGGTCGTCGGTGAAGATCAGAAACGACGTAGGTGTAAGGATAGAGCCCCTGAATTAATATGAATTGATCTAGAAGCGTTTCGTTAAACACAACCTTCATTACACGATTTGTTAGGAACGATTGGATTAGACGTAATATTTGCCCAGAAACACTGTAATTCTTAATCTTGTGAAGGCCAACCACTGCCGAACGTCTTTGAGATATCTAGACCCACATCATTCTTATCTAAAGCTTGATAGACATATTCATTAATAACCTTTAATACGTCGGCGGTAGACCTGGAGAACCTGAAGCCATATTTTTTTTTTCCGAAATCAAGACGTACTGAAGCATTTGTAGCAAAACTTGGAGAGATTATGAGACAATTCAGGGGCACATTTCTTTAGGACAAATGAAGGTATGCCGCCGAATCCGTTGGCTTTGTGGGGATCTAGGTTTGAAATACAAGTAGAAACCATGTACAGATTCATGTGCATATCTCTCAGTAGAGTCTCTGTTCCGATAGAGATACTCCAGACAAGATGACAGTGGAGTTGGAAGAGAAATTCCGAGCAAAGCACTCTACTTCATCTGCAGTAGATGACAAAAACTCCTAATTGATTCAAGTTTGGAAAGATCTGCTCTTGTTCAGTACACATTTACAGAACATCCAGTAATCTCTAAAACCAAACTTGTGGGAAGCTATACGGTGTCTCATTCTATCGGCGAATAAATGATTTTTGCCTCTTTGAGAACAGGCTTACACGAAGTCACAAAGATAAATAAGTTATATTCGAACCTGTCGCTCTGATATAGCCGGAAGAAGCTATTATTTTGTGCCATAGCAGCTGAACAAGCAAGAGAGAAACAAGGAAAAGATTGTGGTTTCACTTGATGTTTCGATGCCGGCTTTCACCCAGAAAAAGAGCTGATGGGTACATTACTGAAGCGGATAACTAAAAATATCATTCCAAGAGGCATCGCGTAGAAAATCACGAAATACGTCCTAATCAGTGCGTTGATAATAAGATGTTCAATAGGGTTCTTGGATAATGGGAGAGCGGAAAGAGATGTCTACAGACACTAGCGTGTGGAGGAAGTTGCCAAGAGGAGTTGCAGAGCTTGGAATGTAAAGAATCTAAATGGTTAATATTCGGACGATACCACCAACCAAATATTAACTTTCTTCTATGGAACTCAGCTTTTTTGTCGGCTGTATAGATTTATACTTGTCAAGCCACTGCTTCTTGTATTGAACAATGTCGTATGTAACCCCTTGCTCTTCACCTGATGTGATATACTTAACATGCAGTTATTTATTTATTTGCCATGATAAGTGATTCACAAAAACAGAAATGAACTATGACTCAACATAATATTATTTGTTTTACTATTACGAAGTGTAAGTAAGAATCATAATATTTGCATCTAACTTTATGACACATGTTGCATATTTAAAGGTCGTAGAATGTAAAAACGATCTAAGTAATGATATAAAGGTAGCAAATATAAAAAAAGAAGAACATTCGGACAGAAAATGAATATCGCATAGCATCGTGCAAAATATTCCAGCTGTTAGCTATTTTGCTAATATTAATTTTATACAAAATCTTCTCACCATATATTTTTTACTATTATTTTTTACTGATTTAAGCTTTATATTTAGCAAATACACGTATTTCTGTAGACATCTATATTTTTATTTAAATAATGTGAATTTGCGTCTACCGGCCTGTACATTCAAGATCCCAGTATGCTTTAGAAAGCTCAGATACGAAAAACTTACAGTCAGAGAAAACTCAATTATTCTATTTAAGAAGTCCACATCTGTTGTTCGGATCCCTTGAAGCCTATATATGCTAACTTTATTTTCGTAGCCGAGACGTAAACACATTTCTATGGAGTTAATTGATTTTATTTATGATGATATTATTTCTTATTGCATTAAATGATATATTTTATGGATATATATGTTTAAGAATATTTTTTTTAAAGTGAGTAAATTTGCGTCTACCTGCCTGTGCATTCAAGATTCTTAACAAAGTTTTAATAATACTGTTATTATACAAATAAAATAACATAAAGTGAAAATTTAATAATGAGGATTCTATATCACTAAATTTGAAAGATGGATGTTTTTTTGAATTTCTTAGCCTAAGTAGAGCTCCAAAAGTTAGAGGAGGCAAGTTAGAAATATGAGGATGACTAATTCTTTATTTCTGTGATATGTTTACTTCATTACTACAGAGAGAATAAAAAAAAATGGTATTGTGGTGATATAAACATCGGAGATATGATGAAATAAAATCTGTTAGAAAAACTAATATTTACAAAACCACTTCAATATAATATATATATATATATATATATATATATATATATATATATATATATATATATATATATAGAGACAACTTAACAATATTAGCTTTTGTGTATATCATTCGAAATAGAAAAAGAATTTGTTAGTGTATTTGCGCCATTACAATTAACAAATAAAATTTTAAAATTCTGGCAAACCAAACTAGCTAAAAGCGTCAACAGAATATTAACAGATCTTTTCAAAGACATGGAGAAAAGTCGGAATTTTTAAAGAAAAGGAAAATCAGAATGAAACTCCCCAGGGATTTGCTAAACTTTAAAACAATGGCTTGCGAATGTAAGAACAATTGTAGTTAAATGGAAAATATATTTACTGAATTTAGAATTTTATATATATATATATATATATATATATATATATATATATATATCGTCGCTATTCAAACATGAATGTGAACAATTTCATAATTTTTTAGCAATGAGCATCACTTGTCTCGCCGGATATTTAATATAGCTTTCAAAAGTACTCAACTAAAATAGAACATCAACTTTTACTATTTGTATTTGTTTGAGTAAGACATCTCACGCCTAATTTACCTAAACTATATATATATATATATATATATATATATATATATATATATATATATATATATAATATAGTATAGGCAAAATTCCGTTGGTATATAATACAAGTGGGTCCTAATAATATAAAATATTAACACTAACCCGCAAAAATGTTTCACTACACAACAGAGAAATCCAAATTACCTCAAGGTTTTCGTCTATTTCAACTGACGCCGAGTATGTCAGTCTTATTCAACCCAGATGGATGGACTGTAGTCAGTGTCGGTTATAGAGATTATAATTTAAAAATTTACAAAGACAGCAGTCGAAAATATGATACGGAACCTACCCATATCGAAGCCTCTGTAGGACAGACTGCCCGAGTAGTGGTAAGAGGAGGGCGGAAGTAATCAGTCTTAAAAGGAAAGAAGCTCCACAAATTCAACCCAGATATTAACCTTAAGATCCCCAATTGAGTTTATAAGAAATTGGAGTGTTGAAATGAAACTAAAGGAAGGCCGAAAAAAGGAGTTTTTCTTCTTTTTTTTTTTTAAAAAAATGTCCAACATTTGTATTTGTTTATATTATACTGTTCATCGATCTCAGCTTTCGGCTCGTCAGAGTGATTATATGGACAGGTTTTGTCTTTATTTTCTCCCGAATTTAAAGCCACTATACGAAGCTTAGAACGGCTCATGATCAAACATAATAGACATTCACCGTCTGTTATATTTAACAAGATATGTTTGAATAATGATCTGCTACACCAATACACGGAAAAAGGAAGTAAATATTGTTGGATTTAAATAAATAAAAAAAGAAAGAAAGAATATTGCTGATTAAAAAAAGAAAGAAAGAAAGAAAGAAAGAAAGAAAGAAAGAAAGAAAGAAAGAAAATATTGCGGGTTTTAAAGAAAGAATGAAAAAAGTAAAAAGAGCGAAAAAATGAAAGAATTAAAGAAATAATATTGCTGGTTTAAAATAAATAAATAATATTGCTGATTTTGACTAAAAACAAAACTAGAAAAGTAAGAAAAAGCGAGAAAAGGAAGAAAGAAAGTATATTGTTGGTCTTAAAAAATAGAAAAACGAAAAAAGAGAGAAAAAAAGAAAAAAGAGAGAAAAAAGAAAGTGAGAAAAAGAAAGATTATTGCTGGTTTTAAGAAAAGAAAAAAAGAAAATTTTGCTGTTTTTAAATAAAGAAATAAAGTAAGAAAGAAAAAAGAATATTGCTGATTAAAAGAAAGAAAGAAAGAAAAAGAAAGAAAGAAAGAAAGAAAGAAAAAAGAATATTGCTGATTAAAAGAAAGAAAGAAAGAAAGAAAAAAGAATATTGCGGGTTACGAGGAACAAACGAATGAGGAGAAGAAATAAAAAAGAAACAAACAAGAAACGCACAAACACACACGCACAAATAAACAAAAATAGAAAGAAAGTAAAAGAAAGAATATTGATGATTATAATGAAAAAACCAAAGAAAGAAAGAAACAAACAAGAAATACATCAACACACAAAAAATAAATAAAAAAAGAAAGTAAAAGAAAGAAAGAATATTGCTGGTTATAAAGAAAGAAAAAAGGAAAGGAAGAAGCAAACAAACAAACAAACAGACACGAAACACATAAACACGCACAAAAATTAACAAAAAAGAAAGGAACTAAAAGAAAGTAAAAAAAAGAAAGAATATTTTTGTTATAAAGAAGAAATGAAAAGGAGAAAGAAGAAATACACAAGAAACACACAAAAATAAACAAAAATAAACAAAATAAAAGAAAGAAATAACATTTAGAGAAAAACAAACGAAAGGAAGAAAGAAACAAAAGAACGAACAAGAAACACAAACAAACACACACAAAAATACGCATAAAAAGAAAGAAAGTAAAAAAGAAAGTAAGAAATAAACAATATTGCTGGTTATAAAGAAAGAACGAAACAAAGGAAGAAACAAAGAAACACACAAACACGCAGAAAAATAGAGAAAAAAGAAAGAAAGAAAAAATATTGCTTGTTATAGAGAAAGAACGATCGAAAGGAAGAAACAAACAAAGAAACAAGCAAGAAACATACAACACACAAAAAAGGAAAAGAAAGAAAAGAAAGAAAATTCTTAGTTATAATGAAACATCGAACGAAAACAAGAAACAAAGAAACAAACAAGAAATACACAAACACACACAAAAATAAACAAAAATAGAAAGAAAGTAAAAGAAAAAAATATTCCTGATTACAAAGAAAGGACAAATGAATGGAAAAAAAAACAAATAAACAAACAAGTAACACACCAACAAACACGCACAAAAATAAACAAAAAAAAAAGAAAGAAAGAAAGAAGAATATTGCTGGTTATAATAAAAGAAAGAACGAAAGGAAGAAAAAACAAGGAAACAAACAAGAAATACACATAAAAATAAACAAAAAAGAAAAGGTAAAAAAGAAAGAATATTGCTGGTCATAAAGAATGAACGGACGAACGAAATGAAGAAACAAACAAGAAATAAACAAAGAAACAGATAAATATAGAAAGAAAGATATGCCTCTCTGTGTAGACGCACCATACAACTGCATACAGGGAATGTTGTAGTGCTAAAAAAAAAAAAAAAAATGCTGTCGATGAAATACGGAATATGGAAGAAAAAAGAATTCAACCAAAAATAAAAATAAATATTTTGTTGCTGTTAGGATTTAGAAAAACTGTAAGAAAAAATAAACATAAAAAGAATATCGAAGAAAGCAAAGTTTGATTTAAGTTTTCTTTGGATTTTTAATTAGAAATAAAATAGATTTCAAGTTCAAAGTTTGATAGAACTCCTTTCAGAAGGTTTTGCTAAGGTTTCATCAACTGTTTTCTTGTTCTTAATTGTCTTTTTCTTTACTTTTTTTTTTATATGTTATACATGTTCAAATTCGTTTTGAATCTCCCGGCCTCTGTTTGTGTTCATTGTTTAGACTCGCTCACATTCGGTACTTCTGTTATTGCGAGTATACCGTTTCATTTTTCAATCGTTTTTGCCTTTAATTTTTTTTTAATTTTTTTTTTTTGGACATAGAACTTTTAACCTAATTTAAATTGGCAAATGTTTAAACTTTGCTATATATGGCTTTTCATTTTTTGCCTTCACTTTCTTTCCTTTATTTGTTTGTTTCTTTCTTTCTTTCTTTGTGACTATCTTTCTAAATGTATCTCTCTATTGTTTCTGTCTATTTATATTTTTCAATTATTTTTCGATATTTCTCTTTCTCTCTCTCTCTCTCTCTCTCTCTCTCTCAGCCATCTTTCGTCCTTTCTTTCTTACTTTTGTTCTTTTTTCTTTCATTCTTTCCTTCGTTCTTTATTTTTTCAATATTTATTTCTTCATTCCTCCTTTCTTACTTTCGTTCGTTGTTTCTTTCTTCGGTTTTGTTTTTATGTTTCTGACTTTTATCCTTTCTTTCGTTCGTTCTTTTTTTCCTTTTCTTCTTTCTTTCTTACTTTGATACTGAATTTGTCTCTCCCTTATTTATTTTTCTTTCTTTCTTTCTTCGTTATTTTGAATATAGAACCTTTATAATAATAATTTTAGTAAACATATAAATTTGACTAAATTTAATTATTTTCTATTGTCCACTATTTAATTTTCTTTTTTCTTTCTTACATTCTGTCTCTCTGTCTTTCTTTCTTGCTTACTTTTTTCTTTCGTTCATTTCGTTTTTTTTTCTTTCTCTTTCATCCAAAATTCTGCGTTTTCTATATTTCTTGCCCTTTTTCTTATTCTTATTTTCTGTCTTTTTATTTCTTAACATGTCTCTCTTTCTTTTTTCGCACCGTTTCCAGAACTTTCATTTTGTCTATCATTTTCGTCGAAATATATTTCCTCCTATTTTTCTGTCATTGTTATCTATCTATCTAACTAACTAAATGCGCAGACGGGCGCATAGGCGAACGCATACACACGCGTACGCAGGATCATACGCTATAAGAGAAGACGTGTACCAATGAAAAGTGTGTATAAAAAAGGAAAAACGGGAAGAGTGAGCCCTCAATTGCTGATATCCCTGACGAATAGACAGAATTATTCCTGGAGGACTGTCTATGAAACACTGGAGTCAGGATGGTGAGGATCAGCTAAGTGACAATATTTTAATATCTATCTATGTAGGTAGCACTCCCTCCTTCTCTCTCTCTCTCTCTCTCTCTCTCTCTCTCTCTCTCTCTCTCTCTCTCTCTATATATATATATATATATATATATATATATATATATATATAGTATAGTATAGAAAATTAGGAAATCAGCCGATTCCACTACCTTGGTTTCAACCTTTCCGTATCTTCAGACGGTTTCGGTCATTGATTTCTTGATGATAGCTAAGGATCGAAAGTTCATGAAGGAGTAAAATTAAGTTCATATATATATATATATATATATATATATATATATATATGTGTGTGTGTGTGTGTGTGTGTGTGTGTGTGTGTGCGCGTGTGTGTGTGTGTTTGTGTGTGTGTGTGTGTGTTCCAGAATGATGTTCCAACTTACTCAAGATGATCTTCGCCCTCTCTAGCATTCTAACTTTCCGTCCTGTAGTAACAAAATGCCTCAAAATTTTCAGATATGATTTCATTTTCAAGTCTTTTTTCACTGCTCTTTGGACAATCATAATTTTCTCTCTCAAGTACCAATCGTCATATGGATTGAGTTGATCTCTTTAGCTCCAATTTCATATTGTGATCCAGTTTTTCTCTCTACTGTTCCCCTTTTTTTAAACTTAAACTTATTCTCTTGCTTGATTTGAAGATTGGAACGAGAGTATGAATGCTGATACCATTACTGAAAGTTTGATTGATCTTTTCCTCTAACCATCACTCATTTGAGAAGACAGTGGGCCTGACACAAAACAATTTTTCACCTGTTCTATTTCTATAGGTATAACTCAAAGGGTTTTCTCAGTGATTCTTTATGACAAATGGTGTCAAGATGAATAAATCAAAAACCTGGAAGAAAGAAACTCAATTAGTTTAGTGTTTTTTAGATATTAAACATTTCATGGGATGGGCAATAATACTGTTACACCCGGTATATATATATATATATATATATATATATATATAGTTTTAAAAACTAGGAAACCATTGATTTTAATATTAAAAGTCTCTAGAGCCCTTTCAGCCAAAATCTCATCAGGAGACAATCGTTGGATTGGCTGAAAGGGCTCTAGAGACTTTTAATATTAAAATCAATGGTTTCCTAGTTTTTAAAACTATTTATAAATTTTGTACCTCCAAACATTTGTTTATATATATATATATATATATAAGATTTATTCGAAAATTATAACATAAATATGTTGAATACCATCACTTGATAAGACATCAGAAGTGATGAAACAAAATGGCTATTTTTGTAGTTATTTTATAACATATTTATGTTATAATTTTCGAATAAATTATATTTACTCTACTCTGTACTCAGCACACTTTTAAGAATAGTATTATTTTGGTTATTGGAATTTATTCCGTATATACCAATCCTATGTTTGGTTGTATATATATATATATATATATATATATATATATATATATATATATATATTCTTTCTGTATGTGTGTGTGTGTGTGTATGTGCGTGGTGGCTTTTAAAGTCCGCCTAATGATTTTTGTATTGTTATCCCCAAACTCGGAATCCATGACCAGCGAGACATTAGGGCACTTATATGCATTTTAAAGCAGCAGCAAGCCATACGTACCACCCGAAAGATCCCCAAATACACTGTGCAATGCATCTGCATGAAATATTTAATGTGAAGAAACACGGTTCTCAGAGCCAATACAACTTTCTGAGCAAAGCAAGCAATAGTTCGAAAATAAGACCTCGCTATCATCAGTCGCTCGTGTACCGCACGTGTCACATTAGCGTGTCTTTCTCCAAAGGAGAAGTTCCAAGAAGGAATAATTATTGGTTCTTATTGGTAGCGTTGGGGTTTCGATGAATTACCTCAATCCGCCGGATTCACTATTTCGTCAATACCTGTGACCCTCAGTGTTGTACCACTCCTGTTCACACCAGCACACCAGCACACACACACACACATACACACACACGCGCGCGTGCGCACGAACACGCACAGATACACACGTGGTCTCTGATCAGGGAGTGGAATGACATCTTAATTGCAGTTGTTCCCATGTTTTTATATATATATATATATATATATATATATATATATATATATATATATATATATATATATATATATATATATATACACACACATATATATATATATATATATATATATATATATATATATATATATATATATATATATATATATATATATATATATATATATATATATATATATATATATATATATATATATATATATATATATATAGTGACTATTATAGCTATATAGCGAGACTCTTCACGAAAGCGAATTGAGTCACTGTCAGTCACTGGGCATGTTTCTAAAAATAAATATGCTAAAATCCACCTTCAATCCGACGGCTTAGTGGTTAGAAGCTCCGACTGACACCAATTCAGTCGGGTTTCGATGCTAGCTAGAGGCAACCGGATGTCTAGCCACACTGATGAGTCTGTCTGTGGATGACGTTATATATATATATATATATATATATATATATATATTATTAAAATTAAAACAAGAAATGTTGTATTAAGGCATTAAAAACAAGAAATGTTGTATTGTAGGCCATGATAAGTTTAAAATAAAACACACACCAGTCGACCGGTTTCGTCCCCTCTCGTCAGAACTGTTAACGGGGAACTAAGATTATGAGAAAAAGAAAAAAATTCTGTCATGGGTGACATGTCATACCGTTTCAAACCTATTTAAATATATATATATATATATAGATAGATAGATATTATATAGAGATAGATAGATATTTCGAAATAGAAACATCGAAAGAAAAATAGAAAGGCACACAAATAGAAAGAAAGATAGAGGAGATAGAAATACACACACATATATATTTTCTTTCTATGTTTTTATTTTCTTACATTTCTCTCCGTCTTTCTGTCTTTATTTTTTAATTTTTATTTCTATCTGTTTATTTTTCTATCTGATTCTCTCTCTAATCTTTCGGTTTTTCTCTCTTTTCATCTATATACATATTTTTTCTATTTCTATCCGTCGATTTTTCTATCTATTTTTCCTTCTGCCTTTCTTTCTTTCTTTTTATTTTTCGTTCTTTTTTAAGTTCCATTTTTATTTCTGTTTTTCTCTATATATTTATTTCTCTATTTCTTTCTATATTTCTGTGTTTCCCTTTTAACTTTTATTTCATTTGTGCACGCAGCTTTCAAACTTATTTACACTCGGACATATTTAGCCGAGACAATATTTGATTAGTTCATTTTTCCTGGTTATTTTTTTTTTTTTTTTTACCTTTTACTATTTTCTCTTTTTATTTTTCATTTCTTATGAAACATTTTAAACTTATTTATTCGCGACAATAATATTTGCTCTGATGTTTTCGTTTTTATTTTTTCCGTTTTTTTTCGTTTCTCGCATTTCACCAACTTTCTTCGTAATTTTGCTAGAAATTTTCG